TTAACATATAAGGTCTAAGATAGTCTAATAAGGTGTAATTGTCCCCATTGTCACGAGTCTCATGAAATCCTGAGCTTTTCACTGACCATTTCCTGAAATAGCAGCAGCCCATCTGGAGCAGAAAAGGCCATGCTTGTGGGGATGATAATTACTTAGCCAGAGGTCAAAGAATAGAAACTGGTAGTTGCTGTGTGATGTCCTGTGCCATTATGAGCGCTGTTAAACGGTGTCCATAAGGAGCTGCTGGCAGCTGGGGAGTCGTACAGCTGAGTAAAACACAAGCTCATCCTACAGGGAGCCATTAGCAGAAGCCGCTACTTCAAAAACAATTAGAGGACATCTTGGGACTTGCAGTGTTTATTGAAATAATTGAATGTCCCCTAACTACAGTATGTACTTCAGTAGAGTAATGAATGTTTATGCCCTCATAGCAGACTGTTTGATAGGACGCCTGAATCAGTGGCTTAACTGATTTAAACTTCACAAGCAAAAATAGCTTAAGTTAGATTAATTTACATGAATCGGTTCAAACTGTATCAGCTGATTATATCATGGCCTGCAGACTAGATGCCACTGCAGTTTATTCTCCGTAGGATAATTTACCCATTAATTCTTCATTCCTGATCAGGCTAACGTTTGTTCTTCATGCATTACAGAATCTGACTCCTAAAGAGAAAGCAAAAGCAATTCAATTATTTGCCAGTGTTCAATCTATTCTAGATGTAAGATTTCAACTTATGACACCATGCATAGTATGCAAAGCTGTGGTGTGCAACTATGCAATTTGCCATTGGTTTTCATATACAGTGACCCCAAAATGTATTCAAGTCAGACAAAAAATTTAGCAAAATTTCTTCAAAATAAATATTTTATCTATGCAATGACATTAAAAGGTGGGGTAAGCGATTTTTCAAAGACACTTAGAGAACTGATTCGGACCGAGTAGCAAAACAAACTTGTGGTCAATCAGCAGAAAGGGGAGTGTCTACTCATGATGAGGAGGAGAGAACATTCAGTGCACGGACATTAGCGATCCGAGCGACAGAAAGATAGAGATGGCAGATAAAAAACAAAAGAGGAAAACCTCTGCGGAACAAAAGAGGGCTTAATGTAATAAGGCAAGAAGTAGGACCCGTGTAAATATCGGATCAGCTTTCCAGCGCTGGAGAGAACTCAAGGAGCAGAAGGCCTGCGATCGGACGCAGAGGTTGCTTTGTTTCTTCTAGATAGGTGAGTAACACCGTTTCTGCGCCGCAACAGCTAAAGTCTGTCTAGTACACTGGACGCGACTGTTGAAAATCATTTGAAATTTATGTCAATACGTCATAAATAGAACGCAGCAGCAGTTTTCTGTTGGGGATTTGTTTTGATTTGCCGCACCACATCCAGTGTAGATCATAGATATGTACGTATATAGGCTATATCTATGGTGTAGACAGCATCACTGATTATAATGAGTTCCATAGTATTTTGTCGCGCCGCGCCACTCGCGCCCGGTGTAGACACAGTGTAACATTGGTTTTGCTTTATTTCACAGAACTAATCGTTGCCTGGGTTGCGTACGTATGTGTGGGGCGGAGCTATCAAAATAGGGGCGAGAGCCTTTTGGGGTAGTGGCGTGTTTGTTTTGGTGATTTCAAATGTCAACATTGGCTACCAGAAATCACTTACCCCACCTTTAATACAGTTGAACAATTACAAATGTCTAAATACGTTTGGGGTCACAACAGGCTGCTGTCCATGGTTCTGAAACCACAGCCACATTCCCTTACAGCAGTACAGCTACCCAAATATTATACTAATATAAAATATATACATTTTTCTTATAAATAACTATATGCCATTTTTAATATATTGCAACAAATATTTAAAAATAATAATGTATATTTCTTATAAATAACGATATACTATTTTTAAATAATTATATAATTAAATAAATGTAATAAAAACGAACTGTTTATTGAACGTTTGCTTGTTAACATCACTTTCTCTGAATCAGGCGCAATTTCCTTAGATAAACTTAAATCTTGCATGTGATTAACTCGCATCACATGTCTGTCTTCACAATAATAATAATAAAAATAAAAATACAACACCCAGGAAGTAACATCATTTGGATCCTTACATTTTTCCTCATTCAGTTTTTACACACAGTGTAGATGAATGAATTCATTCATAATTTCAAACCCTTTTACAAAGGTTATTATATATATTTAATAAATTACATGTGTGTATATATACGCACACACATTTTATGTTAAGACACAATTACAGATGTTTAATTTGATTTCGACTTTATGATTTTAATATTATTTTGACTTTATTAATAATGATTTAATTATTAATTGTAACCAGTTACAAGTAATACTTATCTATTCATTATTACTTATTTTAATAATAAAACACATGCCAAACAACCAATTTCATTTATAACAAGGAAACTGCAAATATTACGATTTTTAATTTTGGTTACAATTATTTCTAAAAAGATATAATGCATTACAACGTACGTTATGAAAACCTTTATAATGCATTATGCATGAAGTCTTAAAGTATGGCCAAGCTTAAGAGTTTATTTCCTAGCTTTCCATTAAAATAATCTGGATTCTGGAATGTGAGCATCAAAACACAATAGCACCAAATGCTCCATTGGACATTGTTTTGCGTGTTCACACTGACAGCGGTCCCTTCTGATCATAAATGGAAGTTGTAATCTGAGCACCAGTGAGAATACAGAGTCTGTGTTGACATACGCTTCAATTCCCTCTCCTGCATGTCTGTCAGAGATGAGTCTGATCCACCTCTCCATGTGTCCCCTGCTGGACTCACAAGCACCCACCAGGGCCCGCTCACTGTGCGCGTGCTGAATTTCATTTGCTGTGATTTCCCGCCGGCCTGTAATGTGATGGATTTGACATTTTGATTTGCACATTGAAGAACAGAGGAGGACAAACTTAATTTCATTTGAGCCGTGGAGAACGGAGAACAGGGCCTGGGATCCGTTGCATGTGTGTCATCGTGTTTGGTCGCTGTCATAATGGGCTTGTCTCATGCGCTTTATTATTTTTAATACGGTGACATCTCCAGTCAATGTCAGCACTACCCGCCTCTTCTTCCACATCTCATTACTGTGTTTTCTGACCTCGGAGGTCAGCATTTGTGCACTAATGAATGCTTTGTCTGTTAATATCCATCATTAGTTTGCAATCTTCTCCAAAGTTAAACTAAAAATCGCATTACATGAGCATGTCAAGTTGTTTTTCACATTGTCTACTGTGTTCGAGACAACTGATAAATTGTTTCTTAAGTACATTACTTTAAATAAGTTCCTGAGTGAATCATCAAAACTTTGCAAAGTTCAGTTTTCTGTCTTTTTATCATATTTGCACTGGTGGCTACCAGTTTGGGAAAATTCAGATTTTTAAATGCTTTTGAAAGACTGCATTTATTTGAACAAAAATACAGTAAAACGGTATAATATTATTGCAATTAAAAATAACTTTTTTCTAATTCAATATGTTTTAAAATGTAATTTATTTCTGTGATTCCTGTGATCTGAATTTTCAGTGTCACATGATCCTTCAGAAATCATTCTGATTGATTATCTGGTGCGCAATTATTAATAATGGTTCTTACTATTATCAATTTTGGAAAAAAAATGTGCTAATGTTTTGTGAAAACTGTGATACATTTTTTTTTTGATTCTTTGAATATAAAGTTTATGCAACATTTAAAATATATATTTTTTAACATTATGTCTTTCTTTACTGCCACTTTCGACCAAATTCATGCATCCTTGATAAATAAAAGTATACATTTATTTTTGTTTTCTTTTTTCGTCTTCAGTCATACTTACCACAAATGTTTGAATGGTATTGTATCACCTTTTCCAAAAAAATATCAAGCAGCAAAACTTTTCAATGTTGTTGATAATAATAATAATTATATATATATATATATGTTTTAGAAAATGTATGAGCTATGTATGAGATGAGATGACAGCACTTGAGGCCCATCTCACAATGTAAGCTCAAGTTTAGGAATATAATCCCTTTGGAACCGCTTTTTCTGTCCCATCTGTCATCAGTGAGCGTCCAGTCATATCTGGCAAAAGTATTAAATCTAATCCCAGTGAGCTCCACAATTATCTCCCATATTGTATTGTTGAGGTCCGGCTTGACGGGACTGAATCACGGCCTCTGTGACTGACAAGGTGTGTGTCATGACACAAGTCTGTAGACACAATGTCATTGTGTGAAATGCATAATGACACACTAGATTTCTAAAACGGTAAATGTTAGAGGATGAGTTATAGTGCTAAACAGATGCTCCTGACGTCATCCGGAGCTGCAGGTCTATAAGTAGCGACGGTACGTGACAGCATGGCCTTGTCTGTATTCTGTATTTTGACAGGTGAGCTCTATTTTTCTGTTGAGAAAGAGCCTCTTTGCGTCGGCTGTTGTACAAATAACATGAATATGAACAAACACTATCAGCCTCATGCTAAAGATATAACCGTTTTGCCTCCAAATTCAGAACATTTGTTGATGTTTTGAGGGATTGGAAGAATGCACCGTTAAAAAAACAGAAAACAACTCAATTTAAACCGTAAATTTGTCTTAAAATCCAAGAGTTTTTGGTTGTATTTCTGGTTCAGTTCTCTGTATCCTGTCAGCTCCTCGGCTGATAGCGTAATCGCACATAAGGTACACCATATGTGATGCGCCGTTAGCCCGAAGTGACTACACTTCCTGTTATTTTTAGCTCCGCTGTGCTATTTTTAATAGCAGCGCCATGCACATCTCCTCCTTTCCACTAATGGCCGATAAAAATACCGTTGTTATTTGTTATTACAGAGCATTTTTCTGCCGCTGTTGAATGAAGGGCCTTGAGTACGAGAGAACGTCCACAGAGATTGGTGTGTCCAGAAAAGAGACACGCAGCACGACACAGGAGTAAGTCGACAAGTTCTCTGAAGCAGTACGAACATATTTCCTCTTTTATTTACATTCCTTTTTCAAATGTTAACATTTTTCGCTATAACTCTCTCATCAAGTTGGCATTTTCTCTTTTCTCATTAAAATAAACTTGGCACAAGTAAAACATATGTAGACAAAAGTTTTATTTACACCATACAACATTTTTGATTTTTAAATATTTTATACAGGGCTGCAGATGAGAGAGCTTTACTGAGCTTCCAGGCAGATTCTGCAGTATTAAAGTTTTGAAATATATTATTCATAAAAAAGTGAGTATTACCTTTATTGCATTTAAAGCAATGAAGAATGTAGCTTGACAAACATTCATTTTTAAATGACAGAAAAAAATCCTCTTTGCCTCTGAATAGTTTTGTCTTTTCATATTATAAAGTAAAAAGTGTAGTAATGGCCAAACGGACTTGTTATAAACTTTTTAAAAACCTGCGCAAGTATATACATTGTGTTCCCGGGCTCGTCTGCCGCCGAACAAAAAACCGAACCCAGCCGCCGCTCGTGGGTGGACGTCATGTCACGTGTCGTTTTTTTCCTCGAGGTCTCATCTGGAAAGATAACGCTTTTGGAACCGATTATTTTCCAACTGGTTACTTTTGAAACACATGATGTTCGATATTGTACATGTCTGCCCCCCACTAAATACACGAGTGAGAATACAAAAAAAAAAAAGATAACACAGATGTTTTTTTGTCTTTTTCTAACGGCTTTTTATCTGTCCGTCCGTCCTTGTTTTAAAATCTTATTGGCACATATTGTCCCTGCTAGACTCCAAGAATCCATATATGTCTTTCCAAGGCTGCATGAGAAGTCTTCTGCATTTTTGTTCAGTGCAAAATATGTCCACCTTCATCCGCGTCCCCTCTAACGCTTCATTAATTCTCAGACTTCTGTCTGAAAGTCTCCCTCCTGGACGTCCAAAGGGAGGCTGATACACCTTTCCCACTCAGCGTTAGTCATCTCCAGAGAGTTCTTTGTGTCTGATTCTAGTACATTCATTGTGGCGTAGTTCTGATATTCACTTGCCGGGTTGAAGCTCTCCCAGGGGTTCTTGTTTGGCATTGCCTTGTCCTACGGAAAAGGACGAGAAGCCGCCATGTTAGAAATATCGCATTTCTGCAATATTCTCAATATGGTTTCTCATTACAGTGCCTCGTTTTGTGACACTGTCAGACATTGGAAGTTGCACATGGACATGAATCATCAAGCTTTAATTCATGTTCTCTCACAGCGGCCCTAGAAATATTTGAACACTGTATGAAAGTCACCCCATTAGATAAAAAATATCAAACCAAATGATGGCCTTTCTTATATATATATATATATATATATCACTTGGCTTGTTATATTTTGTTAACTAACACAATGACATTCATACATCTGTGTCCCAAAAAAAACGTTGTTGGAGCCGCTGCACATACACATCCAGTGCTCAATAATCAAAGTCTTTGACCTAACAGCATGTTTGGAGTGTTTCCAGATTCAGGAACATCTCAGATTTTTCAAGGGATTAAAAGCACAGAATCATTTCTTGCAGTGGTTACCAAGCAACAGGCAGTGGATGGCAAAGTTCTGCAGTCTGATTGAACGTGGGTAAAGGGAAGTAACGTGGCCAAAGGGACACATCACCAGCTGCTTCGACTACATGAATATACACCTGACATCAACATGCATTTCTATTTGTTAACTTTAGTTAATGCATTATGGTTCTTGAATTAGGAATCCACCAATTTCATAGTTTTGGTTCATTTATTAATATGCTATTGTTCATTGGCAATTCATGTTCTTTCATGATACATTAATGCTAATTTATATGACTTGAAATGTAGAAATTAGCATTAGCCTAGATTAATAAATGCAGTAGCGCACCATTTCATTGTTAATTCATGAATGCATTAGTTAATGTTAAAATATAGCGCCTCATTGTAAAGTGTTAGCCATGCATTTCGTATCAGGATCGTATCTGGCCACTTGCATCTGATTGCACTTAGCTGCACGATATGGAAATGCCACTTTTAGAGGCTGCATTAGACAGAAATGTCCATCATTTACATTGAATTGAAATGCTTTCCGTTATTTTGACCGCTTAGAAAAGGCATTCAGTCGATTTTCTACTTTAGAAACATTCTTAATGCTAATGGGGATTACAAGTGAATAAAAAGGGAGAAAATAACGTTTGTGAATCTATATTGGATTAACAGTCTAAAGTGGAATAAATCATTCAATCAGGTGACCAGATCGCAAGACCACATTAACATTTACCTCCAGCATCGAATAGAATCAAAATATACTGTATTTTCAGTCATCCGATCACAATGTTTCTTGAGTGCACTGGCTTTCATTGAGATCGAGAGGGTTTCAACTGGTATCCAATCACTGAAAATGCATGCTACTGTAATAGCAGGAGATGAATTGTAGGCCACTGTACCGAGGATGAGCTAATTAAAAAACACGTCAAAAAATCTGTTAATTGATGATCAGAGTGAACCTCACAGAGCCAGTCAGCTGGACGCCAAACGACACTGAACGTTCCTCTGCTGCATGCTGCTGGATGATGAAATGCGATTGTTGCGATTGGCCTGCTCCAATCAAACAATCCCACCGGCCTTACAATTACAGATAATCGGTGCATCGTACAAGCACAGAGAAGCTCTCCAATATCTGAAGCAAATCAAGTGTTTTTTGTCCCGTGCATTCGCCAAGCAGCGATTAGCCAATAGAAAAGGAAATAATAAGCATGTTAGCAGCTCATGGCCTTGTGTTTTGTGCCTTGTGTTTGAATGAGTAGGGCCCCTAGTATAAATAAGTTTTGATCTACAACCAACTTTTTAGGTTTTCTTAAAAACAAAGGATTGAAGATCAACAGGTTAACTATCAAGTCTTCTTTGGTTGACCAGTTCATCACAGAGATTCTGTTGTTTTGATCTAGTCTGAATATGACACTTCTTTGGTTTTGATAAAAATGATGGGTTGAAGATGAACAGGTTAACTATCGAGACTTATTTGGCTGACCAGTTCATCACAGAGATGTTGTCTGAACAACTTCACCACTTTGTTCAACAGCTTGGTTGTACTTATCCATCAGCACTAACCATCTAAGCAAATTTTTTTCATCAAAGACTATCTATAAACAAGCCTTACAATAGCTGTTATAGAAACATGTCCATATTTCGACTGGATTGATTCTGTTCACCTCTCTCTAGATGCAATGACAGAAGATGCATCAGCACTGTGAGAACAGCCTGTCCTCTGCATCTCCACAAATCCATAAGGGAATTACTGCCACTGTTCATAACACAACAACAAGGAGACCAGAGGACAACAACGGCTGGTTAAAAATCCTCCAGCTCTGATGATAGTCCAAACGAATGCATCACACAACATGGTGTCTGAAGAGCGCAGCAGAATACTGATAGAAGAACACAGAAAGGGCTTTAGGCTCAAGACAAGGACTTTCAGGGTGAATCTCATAAAATCTGTCAAGAACCTGGTCATATTACACCCCAAAATCAAATCAATATATATAAGAATATGGCTGCAATATAACAGAGTGAAAAATTTAAGGGGGTCTGAATACTTTCCGTACCCACTGTATGTGACCCTGGACCACAAAACCAGTCATAAGTGTCAATTTTTCAAAATTGAGATTTGTACATCACCTGGAAGCTGAATAAATAAGCTTTCCATTGATGTATGGTTTGTTAGGATAGGACAAGGATTTGGCCGAGATACAACTATTTGAAAATCTGGAATCTGAGGGTGCAAAAAAAATCTAAATATTGAGAAAATCACCTTTAAAGTTCTCCAAATTAAGTTCTTAGCAATGTATATTACTAATCAAAAATTAAGTTTTAATATATTTATGGTAGGACATTTACAAAATATATTCATGGAAGTTTATCTTTACTAAATATCCTAATGATTTTTGGCATAAAAGAAAAAATTATAATTTTGACTCATACAATGTATTTTTGGCTATTGCTACAAATATACCTGTGCGACTTAAAATTGGTTTTGTGGTCCAGGGTCACATATAAGAAATTCTTTACATTTGTTGTTTAGGACCATTACAATTGTTGTAATTAAGAACATCTGCCTCCCAACTCTCATTTTTATAATGCAAAAAAGTAACTAAATAAATAAATTTAAATTGATATGTAAATGTGTTGAAGTGTCTATTTATTTTTTGCATAAAAAGTAATACAATATAGTATATACATATTTTTTCTAAAGAAATCCTATTATGGATCATCAGATTTTAAAATATTTTTATAAAATAAAATAATTACTTAGTTATTTTTTGTTAATTTGATTTTGGGGTAAAATATGACCTGATTTCCCTGAGTTTTACTTTTCTGCTTTTTGGAAGTTAGAAGTAAACCTTGGATTAAAGTTTTATTATGCCATCCTAATGAAGGACACACAATGTGACACAATATCACCTTCTGAGCTGATCTTAATCCAGTTTTAATGACGAACACTAGAGTCACGGCACTGTTATATTACACTCATTTTCAAAACAAAAACAAAAGGGTTAGCAAATTGTGTTACTTGCTGCATTTCAGGGTTACAGCATGGGCTAATTATCTGATTTACTATGTCCTTGTTAGTCAGCTAGTTTTTACAGACTTTAAGTAACGTGCCATAAATGCAGATACACAAAAACAAACATTCAAACAACTGTCAGGACATCTCATTATGCAGTTAAAGTAATTTAGCAGCTCATATCGATGTCTAAATGAGCTCTGGCTGCGATAAGTGACAAAATTTGATCAGTTGCTTGGTTTCAATTTATGTGGCGTCACACTGTGTACCCACAACGAAATCTCATTGGTCTAAATCCCACACATAACCAGCTAATAGACTGTGTTGCATCATGCAACATTTCACCTTCAGACAGACAAACAAATGCAGTCAGTGCTTTCAGGAAATGTGAGAAGAGTCACCATGCTGTCTAGGGGCATAGCGATGCTACATACAAACTGAAAAATGGCTGTAATGAAGACTTCGTGCTGTTCTGAACTTTGTTGGCTGGATGTCAGAAGAATTAAATTTTTTTAACAACTTTTCAGTATAACTATAAAACAATTCTGTCTAGACTTTGAAACAAAAATCTTGTTTTGAACCAATTTCAAGGCTTCACTGTTCTTCACCAACCATTTACTTTGGGGAGACAATTAAAAAACTCATGGATTTAGGTTTATTCCATATGGCAGCTAGATAAAGGGATAAAAGAGATAAAAGAGAATAACATATGTGGAATAAAATAATTATGACTAATTCTGATTTGATATGTACCATATCAATATATGGTTGGCTTCTAAAACATTTATATTTACATTTAGTCATTTAGCAGACACTTTTATCCAAAGCGACTTACAAATGAGGACAATGGAAGGAATCAAAATCAACAAAAGAAGTCTCAGTTAGCTTAACACAGTACACGTAGCAAGGGTTTTTTAAATTATATAACAAATAAAAAGAAAACAGATAGAATACAAAAAGATTAGAAAGCTAGTGTTAGGTTTTTTATTTATTTTAATTTTTTTAACAAACTTTTTTTGTACTTCAGAGACACGTTTTACTTCTTGAATATTTAAAGACTTAAGTGTGCTTAATAAATTTAACAGCATTAAATATAGGCTATTTTAATTAGGTTGATATATTATTAATGCAATTAAAGTAATATATAAAGTCTATGAATTTAATAATCTGTGAACATAAATTTCATTTCAAGATGTTGTATGTATTAGTATCTATCCCGCTGGATGATTAGCCTGGTGCCACTGGGACTCCGTGATTCTAATGTGAATGTTTATTCTCTTGGGCCGTTTTGGCCCAGGAGAGGAGAAGTAATTAGGAAACACATTAATAGTGCACCATCTGTTTCTTACCTGATCGACATGCGATGTCCACGTCTTTCTCAAAATCCGTCTGTGGAAAAAGAAAGAAAGAAAGTGAAATTTAGACATGCAAGAGGAGTTCAATTTAGACAGAACTAAAACATAAAAGCTGAAGCTTTATTTAACTTTGACATTTGCAGACATGCAAAAAAAAAAAAAGCATAGTCTAATCGACTGTAAAATCAGAATAATAAATCAATTATATAATGCAGTCTAACATATCTATGCCGCCATGGGATTCTTCTCAAATTGTATGCTTTTGCTGGCTTGTGTCTGCAGTCTAACCACGTCCCACAGAGAAAACAGTCATCTGTTGAAACCGCTTATAAATAGAATCGGATTATTCAGGTATGACAATAGAGAAGCCATCAACCGCGGCGAATCAAAGACAAGTCTGCACATTGGAGGCCTCATTATAGTGAAATGCTTCTAGTAAAGAAACCTTAAATCAAAACACAAATGAGAACTGTGATCATTATTAAATCAATTATATAATGCAGTCTAACATATCTATGCCGCCATGGGATTCTTCTCAAATTGTATGCTTTTGCTGGCTTGTGTCTGCAGTCTAACCACGTCCCACAGAGAAAACAGTCATCTGTTGAAACCGCTTATAAATAGAATCGGATTATTCAGGTATGACAATAGAGAAGCCATCAACCGCGGCGAATCAAAGACAAGTCTGCACATTGGAGGCCTCATTATAGTGAAATGCTTCTAGTAAAGAAACCTTAAATCAAAACACAAATGAGAACTGTGATCATTATGTGCCAGTGGTTCTGCGCGGGTCAAACATCTCCGGAACTATTTTAACAGCAATTACTCCCTCAAGCCAGTGAAGGATGAGAGAGACCGGTGTGAAATACGACAAATGTGTCCCATCTGAGAAAGGCGAAGGCCAGAGGAAAGCTAAAGGACATGAACGAAAGATTTGCTGGTATTAATTAAGCAAAGACAGATCTCCATATCCTGTCATAACTGTATAAGCAATAACACTGTATAACAAAGACGCATACAAGAGAAAAGCATTTCATATAGATCAAGAGGACTGTGAGAGATGCTTCTGATAGCACAGATGCCAGATGCAAATGATTTCTCAGCTAATTTACAAGAAGAGAATATTCCAGCTGAGTTTGTGACTGTACAGTGTAAGAACACTGAAGTCCCAGGAGGCGAGTGTCTTACCATGATCTGTGCATGCCCGTTGGGAAATGTACCAGTCGCGTCTGCACTGATGGGGTCTTGACAGTTTCTCAGGCGACATCTGAAGGCATCCTGAACCTGTGAACCATCATTTTAGTCACTCAGCAGGACTAACATATGCTATTGAAAAAAACACTTCAGTAGCGCACATTGCTTCAGAATTTGAAAGTTTGGGGTTGGACTGGGTTTTTTGGATCAAAAATACAGTAAAAACAGGAATATTTTCTAGAATTTAAAATGACTGTTTTGTATTCTTAATATATTTTAAATGCAAATTATTTTTGTGATGGCAATGCTGAATTTTCAGCATCATTTTTCCAGTCTTCAGCGTCACATGATCCTGCAGAAGTCATTCTAATGTGCTGATTTGCTGCTCAAGAAACATTTCTGATTGCTGTCAATGTTGAATACTGTCAATGTTATGCTGCCTAATATTTTTGTGAAAACCATGCATACATTTTTTTGGAGGATTCTTTGATGAATAGAAATGTCAAAAGAACAGCATTTATTTGAAGTAGAAATACGTTTTAACATTATAAATGTCTTCACTGCCACTTTTGATCAATTTAATGCATTTTTGCTGAATAAAGTATTCAGTAAACCTCTTTCCAAAAAAAGTGTATAAAAATGAATAAGCCTGCCAAATAAACAAATGTAGCAACAAATGCCTTTTATCCTTCATGCTCATTGAAATTGCCAGATTGTTTCCTGTAGGGGGTAAAAGAAGGACATCCAACTATTTAAAGGCAACATTCGCAACCCACTTCTGTGAAGCAAGATGTCAAACTAGGAAAAACATGTAGGGATTTGACTTTATTCATCAGGATTTAATTGGTCTTGGAAAGTGGCTGTTACGTACCAGAATGGGTACCAGTGGATGTGATCTCTAAATGACAGATTTAAAAAAAAAATAAGAGGGCTTGCTAATGTCAGTCCAATAGGAAACTTATTTTAGAGGAAGAGGGATTCATTTGAGGATAAGTCAGGCAGATTTTAAGGGTGAGTTTGGCTCGTTCAGCTCTTCTGAAAGTGGTTTTCTTTAAATTTATAGTTAAAAATACCTTCTTTTGTGTTTCACAGAAGCAGGAAAGTCATTTGGAAAAGCATGATGGTGAGGAAGTGATGACAGAATATTCATATTTATCCCTTTATTTAAGTAAAACTGGACAAGTAGTAAAATAAACTGAGCCTCTGAAGAAATTAAAGACAGTCTGCTGAAATGCTGAAGGAAAAGAGTAAGGGATTATAATGGTTCCAGCCCTACCTCTTTTCTGAGAATACAGTGGACCATGACTATAACAAAGCCTTGCAGGGAGTCAAAGACTGCGAAGAGGATCTGGAATAAAATTGAGCGTTTGTCCGTCATGGCCAGCACCGCAGACATCCAGGTGAGAGCTAATAGAGGAAGGACAACACAGGAACTCCACAGGGAGGCCCTGAGACAGAAAGAGAGAGATGGTGGACTGAACAACAAAAGAGATGGATTTTTGTTCTTGGTCCCAAAAGTATTTTTACCCATTCATTTTCTCCATAGACATAAAAAAAAAAAAAAAACACACACACTTTAATGAAAAGCTCTAAGCCTTGAACAAACCAACTAACTCTTGAGTCATAACATTACAGTCTTTGATTTGAATAACAAGAAAGTAAATGAAAATTAGCTTATGAGGCAATTAATTAATCATTCCATAAATCATTATGAATGACTCCTGACTGGTCATTGACAACAATTATAAAAAAACCAATATGGTTGTTTGTTTATTGTTGTTATTATTATTACTACTATATACAATTGCAATAAATTAAATAAACAAAATATTAAAATATATTAGTTATTGACTACAGGTATAAAATACAACATTTATTATTATTTTTACTACTACTATATTTTTTGCAATAATAAAATATATAAATAATCAAATAGACTAGTCTTTGACTATAAGTATAAAATACAGTGTTTATTATTATTCTGAGATTATTATTTCAACAATAACACTAAAAATAAAATCAATAATCAACCAAAAATCTATCATTGACTGCAGGTATAAAATATCATGTTTATTATTTTATTATTAATATTATATTTTATTGCAATTATAATTAAAATGTGTATTATTGTTATTAATACTACTACTACTACTAAATTTTTTCAATAGTAAAATAAATAAATAATCAAATATACTAGTCACTGAATACTGAAAATGTTTATTATTATTATATTTTATTGCAATAATAATAATATTATTAATAACATACTATGTGAATATTTTAGATGCTAGTTTGAGATATTAGGGAGGCTACAAAGCTTATATGTTAAAAACAAAATAAATTGCAGCATTGCTTAACTTCAGATCTCATCTTCAAGAAAGGTTTTTATGCTATTGTAAAATATCACTTTCTGTATGGAGAAAATGATGGGGATTTTTACTTTACAGAAGTCTACTGTTGAGCTCTGTAGAACAGATATGATGAAGAGGAGATAGATGTAATTTGTTTGCCAGTTTCATTCCAGATGAAAGCATGCACATGCCCAAATTGTCCTAAATTGCCATCAGCACATAAATGAGTCCAGGAGCACACAACAACCAATGCATTGTTCTAATAGAGTGTGTCGACATATCACAGACAAAGAACAAGAGCCAGCTGTTCATTTAACACCTCCACAAATCTCCTTCCCCGAGGCAAGGGGAAGGACACACACGCATAAAGTCACACGCACACTCTTGCATGCAGCTTAATCAGCATAATCGATTTGCTGAGGCATAGGTGGGCACTTACATGGCGTTGCTGGCCGTTGTTGCTGATAAAGCAGTAGTTGAGACGACGCCACATTTGGCACATTTTAAAGTTAATCCTGTATGGGGCTCGCTCATCTGCCTGCAGAACAGCCAAATAACCAGACAACACAAAGGGAATGTATTTACATGGTGGTCTGATTGTACCAAAGCAAAGGTGGTGGATGTTTCTCTGGGAGATACGGCCCTTTGTGGACTTCATCAAAGATGAAGTGTGTCATTTCTGCACCTTTAGTAGCACCAGAATTGTAATCGGTTTGTTTGGGCAGCCGGACAGGGCTGGAAATATCTCTTTTGGCTCAACTAATGGTGTAAATTTGAGGCAAGGCTACCTGTTTCTGCATTTTTGTCATACTCAGATGAAACTTTTGCTCTGTTCCCAAACCTAATGCGGTCCACAGCCTACTGTCAACATAGGCAACGATCTTTTAAAGCAGTTTAGTGTGAATCTCACAGTTTGTTGTTAGGATGATGCTAGGAAAACAACACAATACTCTAATAAGCATAAAACAAATGTAGCACACACAAATATTGGGCAAAGGTTTATTAGGTTATGGTGAACAGGTTTTATTAGCAAAACATCTTGAATTTGTGTGTGATAGTATTCAGCATAGATATTTTTTGAAAAGTGTGGGATAGGTAAAGTTTTTAAATGTTTTTGAAAAGAGTCTCTTATGCTCACCAAGGCTGAATTTATTTGAACAAAAAAGTAAAAACAGCAATCCTGTGAAATATTATTCACTGTAATATATGAGAAATGTATAACAATGTTTTCTATTTTAATATATGTGACCCTGGACCACAAAACCAGTCATAAGGGTAAATTTTTTGAAATTGAGACTTATACATAATTTACTGATGACTTGACATCATCTGAAAGCTGAATAAATAAGCTTTCCATTGATGTATGGTTTGTTATGATAGGACAATTTGGCCGAGATACAACTATTTGAAAATCTGGAATTTGAGGGTGCAAAATAACCGAAATATTGAGAAAATCGCCTTTAAAGTTGTCCAAATGAACTTCTTAGCAATGTATATTACTAATCAAAAATTAAGTTTTGATATATTTACGGTAGGAAATGTACAAAATATCTTCATGGAGCACGATCTTTAATTAATATCCGATTTTTGGCATAAAAGAAAAATCTATAATTTTGACCCATACAATGTTTTTTTGGCTATTGCTAAAAATATACCACAGCGACATAAGCAACTGGTTTTGTGGTCCAGGGTCACATGTTGTAAAATGTAATTTATTATTGGAATGGGAAATTAGAATTTTCAGTGACTCAAGAAACTTTTCTTATTGCAGTTGAAAACAGTTGTGCGGCTTAAAGTGTGATTTTTTTCAGGATTCTTTGATGAATAGAAAGTACAACAGAACAGCATTTATTTAAAACCGAAATATTTTTGTAAAATTATAAATGTATTTGCGGTCGCTTTTGATACATTTAATGCATCCTTGCTGAATAAAAGTATTATTTTAAAAGTATTCCAAAAATCCCAAACTTTTGAATGGTAGTTTAGGTTTCTTCTTTTCATCACGTAATTTCTTCACCTTAGCTATCTTGCTAACTGACAGGATGACAGAAATCAGCAAAAATTGTCAACAAGACAAATTACCATCTGATTTGCTAAAAGATATTTTAGAATGAAAGTATCAGCCAACTAACTTCTAATTTCTAAGAAACAGGTTTCCTTCTTGACAACAAATGATACCAGAGGCAGTAGATAACAGAACAAGCAGAGCATATTTGCATTTTTAGTAAATTGTCAGGACACCAAAGCATCTTGTGAACCCAAGATATAGATTTCAGAACAGAACTTATGAGTTTGACATTTTTCATATCTATGTGTTTGTGTGATGTAGCTAATTGGCACTTACCCTGCTCTGTGTTTTAGTTTCTTATCCAGGATCCCATCTCTCGAAACCAGTTTATTAAACACTAGAATACCAATCACCATGTTAACCTGTAACCACATACACACACAGTAACACAGTCAGGGCCTGATCTCATCAAACTGCAGTAAATTAACAATACAGCTCAAGCACTGTCCACAGTAATGACTAAAAGTAAAAGCTTCTTTGAACATATAAAAAGGAAAGTGCTTTCCAATGCACTTGAGAAATTGACAACTACCTTCAAGCTAGACTTTAAAAATGCAGCCATATAGATCTAAATGTACTGTTTTGTATTGTGTAGATGCATGGTAGTGTGCATCTGTGCCACCATTAAATCTTAATTCAGTCTAGAGACAAACTGCTTAATGATGCATATAAATGACAGGGGTCACAATCTTCAAACCGCACCACGATGGAGTGAGGCAATTTTCTATTTCAATGTTGGCACAGCAGACTAGTCCAGTAAATGACATAAACCATTATAAAGGCACTGGCGTGTGTAGTTGAGACTGGTAAATGACTGTAAATAAACAAAGTGTAAAATGACCAGCACAACAGCAGCGGCAGGTCCCACAAATGCATAGAGAAGACCACCTTCCAGAGATAGCCAACAGCTGCAAACACAAAAAACCCAAATATCAGCAAATCTTGCATAAAATGTAACATCCGGCATCAACTTAATGGGGCATGGCAGTACACAGTCGTATCGTCCTTGAGTGTCTGGGGATCTGGAGCCATATGCCATGGTTCTACATGAGAGACTTTTAGTATGGAACAAGAACTCTAAAGAGATCTTAAAACACTGTTTATATCTAGGTATCCTCAGGAGACTGTTGCAATCTCTAGGCTCTGACTCATAACTTCATGCAACTGTTTTAATTGAAAAGATCTTCATGTGGGGTCTCTTAAGTTTTCTGGGTAAACATGAGGAACAACGAAGAAAAAATAGGTTGTCTTACTACTGAGGTGTCCCGTATCCTTTTGCTTTTGTGAATCCCATTGAGATGGCGACCACCAAAGCAGGTAATCCTTCGAAAGAGACACAGGAATGATTAAAGGCCACATACTGGGTAATCCTTCAGGGCTGGAGACTTTCACGGCGCATGCACAGTGGCATCAATAGTAGGTTAAGAATGAGAAGAAACTAAAGCAAGTGGTGCTTATCCATGCAAAACCAGCCACTGCAGTGCTAAAGTGGGATTTTTCTTCCTTTGAAAAGTGATAAATGGCTGACATTAAAATTCTATATAATTTTGTATAGATAAAATATATATTTTTAAACTTTATTTCAAACTTAATTTTATTTTTTAAATATATTTTAAATATTTAACACTTATTTTTGAAAAATATAAGTGAATATAGCCATCACAATATTATAACTGTACAGTATGAAATGTATGCATTTTTGTTATTTGCTAAAGATTAAATTTAACAGTGTTGATTTGTTTTACATATATGTTTTATTAATAACCCTACACTTGAGTAACAGTATGTGCTGCTTGCCTTAACAAACACCACTGCAGGTCTTCAGAAGCACATCCAGGTTTTCAAGAAATGATATAACTTCTAAATTGTGTGTGACGTGAGAACAGGTAACAATCTAATAAGAATCCCTGGAGTTTTACACTAAACCCAGCATGTGAAATGCAATTAGCACAACTGCTTTTGAACAGAGAGGCTGAAACAATCAAACAGGTCTTGAGCTGAAGTATAATATCATATCTGCTATCTTTCTAATCCTCTCTCTCTATTTCTCCGTCTCTCATCTTTGCTAGTCTCGAGCAGGACTGCCATTATGAAAGGGCTCTTTCTGCTCCTGCCACTGCCCTGTGATCTGAATATTAACACTGTCCCTCTCTCGCTGGTGGCTCAATTTATTGATGCAATCAGCTTGTCTGAAGAACCAGCAAGGGCTCTTGCGGGCCCCCCTCCCTGTGCTGAGTCTAAACGAAACTCCTCCCCTAACCACCAAGCCGTTTCATCCTGGACCAATAGGGAAAGCACACTGCACCGCTGTTCCTCCCTCAAGGTAACATTAGTCTCCGGATGGATGAAAAAGAGTGAGTATCTGAGAAGGATGAATGAATTTGACCTGGAAACTGTCCATGATGATATGCTTGTTCCCTCACAGATACAAATTATACCTGTGGATTTATAGTTCAGCTGAACAAACACAGCATAGTCTGCCAGATAGCGAGATTGACGTGCCTCTTGTGTGCCTATGACCTGAGTAGGGGTCAAGAAATTAAGGAGACCAGCTGCTGGTTTTTTTATCCTTAACAGATGTTTTAGATTAGTACTTGTACACTGAGACACTATTTATCTGAGACACCATTTACTTCTAAAGAAAAAGAGAAAACAAATGAGAGGTGATGAAATACTTTGTTTACTTGTAAAGTTTTTAATAGACCATTGAATTAACCAAAAATATATTACTGCATGGTTGTTTACTATATAAAGCATCCAGAGTATAAATATTAGAGGTAAAAAAAATTTTTGGAAAGAAGTGTCAGTTGTGCTGCTTAATATTTTTGGAGGAACTCCAAAACTCCTTTGATGAAAGAAAGTTCAAAAGAACAGCTGCTATTTGAATGTATATTATTTTATTTTTTGTCAATTAAAAATTGCTGGAAAGTATACATTTTATTTTATATAATTGTATTTTATATATACTATATATATATATTTAAATATATATATATATATATAAACACACACACACACATTTAATTATATATAATTATACACAATTAAATGTATGTATAAATTCAACCCACTACATTGCGAGTAAGTCACTCACATGCGACTAAATCTTCACTCTGGGCGACAAAATGATGTCTAATATTAATAATAAATAAATACTAATAATAAATTCTCAGATTTTACTCACCAGTGTGAGAGTTGGAGGCTAAGTATAAGTTTAGCACAGATATATTTTCACTCGCCGAACACTGAGCGCTTCAGAGTTTCACTCTCCGTCAAGCGATCTGTGCTATTTTTCAGTTCATCTCAATTGATGCGCAGTGCACCTGTGTTTGACGTACCGTGAACTCTCCGGACTCGCCATCGCTTTGGTGAGTGCAAAGAGAGTGAGACAGTCTTACATACATGCAGAATTACACAATTAAATGTATGTATAAATTCAACCCACTACATTGCGAGTAAGTCACTCACATGCGACTAAATCTTCACTCTGGGCGACAAAATGATGTCTAATATTAATAATAAATAAATACTAATAATAAATTCTCAGATTTTACTCACCAGTGTGAGAGTTGGAGGCTAAGTATAAGTTTAGCACAGATATATTTTCACTCGCCGAACACTGAGCGCTTCAGAGTTTCACTCTCCGTCAAGCGATCTGTGCTATTTTTCAGTTCATCTCAATTGATGCGCAGTGCACCTGTGTTTGACGTACCGTGAACTCTCCGGACTCGCCATCGCTTTGGTGAGTGCAAAGAGAGTGAGACAGTCTTACATACATGCAGAATTGACACGCTACATGTAAACAATATTCTTTGTTGTATTTTCCTGTCAAAATAACGGAGTTCCTTTGGATTTGTTCAGCTCTATATATATATATATATATATATATATATATATATATTAATTATATGCAATTAAATATATGTATAATATAAAATATATAAACACACACACACACATTTAATTATACATTTACTTATATGTGATCCTGGACCACAAAACCAGTCATAAGAAATTGTCATCAATTGTCATTGAGATTTATACATCATCTGAAAGCTGAATAAATAAGCTTTCCATTGATGTATGGTTTGTTAGGATAGGACAATATTTGGCCGAGATACAAAAAATCTGAAAATCTGGAATCTGAGGGTGCAAAAAAATCTAAATACTGGAGAAAATCACCTTTAAAGTTGTCCAAATGAAGTTCTTAACAATGCATATTACTTACATATATATTTACGGTAGGAAATTTACAAAATATCTTCATGGAACATGATCTTTACTTAATATCCTAATGATTTTTGGCATAAAAGAAAAATCTATCATTTTGACCCATACAATGTATTTTTGGCTATTGCTACAAACACACCCATGCTACTTAAGACTGGTTTTGTGGTCCAGGGTCACATATAGAACACTTTTACATTTGACTTATTCTATATATAAAAAATTTAAGGGGGTCTGAATACTTTCCGTACCCACTGTATATATATACTTAATTATTATATAACATATACTTAACAGTTATATATTCAAATAATATTGAAATTAAATGTAATTTTTATTTATTTTATTTTGTATATAATTATATATAATTTTTGTGTCGTGTCATGCCTGAGGTAGACATTAACGAAGGTAAAATGATCTGGAAGTTGGCTGCTGGCATTCTTAATTTATTCTTTTTGTCTGGTCTATTCACTGCTTAGCAACCGTTGTTATGGCAATGGAGTCACGGACTGATACAAAAGCAGGAGCAACAAGTTCATTTGATAGCAGACATCGCTTATGAATTCCACCGCCATTAAGCTCTGAGATACTGAACACAAACCACTTATGATCGGCGTATAACCATATAAATCTAAAATGTGAGTCTTGTTTAAAACAACCGCCATGCACTGATGCTCACAAGAAACATTTCATGGATGCCAATAATTCAATTAATCCACCATCAGTGTGTATCAGAATAGCCAAACTAATAAACGGTTCACATATCTGTCTTTGTCTATCTCCTTCTGTCTTGTCTTTTTCCTCTGCACACAGGAAAACACTGCAATGATGGAAAGAGAGAGCCTTGTTTGTTGCTAGGTAACTGGAGGGATGAGTGTTAGCTCTTCTGTAATCAATTTGATGTGTGCGTAAAGTGGTCCTGTATAAGAAACCCCGGGGAGGTATGGAACATACGAGACGATATTCAAAAATTACCCACTCACATCGTCCACATTTGAGAAGTAAATACCAGCTGCATGATGATGATGGATTAAATGAAATAAAGACTGGGAGAAAAAATAAAGAGGGAGAGATGTAGAGATTGTTGTGGAGATCCAAGCACTTACCCCATCCCAGACAGAGGAAGCGTTTCCGGATGAGCCTGGTCCGAACTTTCCCCGTCACGGCCATATAGGACTGCCAAGCTTCTGTCAAGACCCAGCAGAAGGACGCCAGGAAAAAGAAGTGCAGTAATGCAGTTGTCATCGTGCATATGCCCTGTCCATTTAACAGAGAGAGAGAGAAAGAAGAGGAACTGATAAAATACTTCATTCAAGTCAAGTCTAAATTAGGGTTTTTGGACTGTCAATCGAATTTCGCATTGACTGAGCCAGAGTTTGGGTGAAAAGTACTCAATTCACTCATTAAAATTAATTAAAGTCACAAGAAAGAAATGTGAAACTCACTGAAACTACCAAGATTGAAAACAAAATAATGGATCCCTCATTGCATCTACACCCTTTGATATTTCATACAAGGTGTCATGAAAAGCTTGCGACTGAAAACAACAAAAGTCGCAGACAGAGAACATGTTTTGCTCCAGGCTCGTCTAGACCATCGTTTAGGGCTGGGCGCTTTGATGGTATGTACTGTGTTGTGCAAATTGTGTGGGTATGGATTGCAAATATGACTTCATTTAGTTTTAAACATAAAAAGAAAAATAATGGGGTCATCAAGATATTTTTAGAAAAAAATAACATTTTTATTTAGCAAGAATGCATTAAATTGATCAATAGATCAATTGATCACAGTTACGTCACTTGCAGCTGCGTGCACATTGTGGTGGCAGAAAAACACTGATAACAAGTGAAGGGAAACAGGTAGAATCCATGAAATAAGATAAAGTATTATTGTGCCTTTGGATGTCAGAATCGGAACGCAAATCATTTTTATAGAATATTGAAACTAAATGCAGACGTCTAAATAGACACACTCTGGATGAAACCTGCTACTTTTAAAGCATAAATTTGATTTATACAATAGGTCTGCATAATATTCACATATTAGCCCTTCAGTTACAGCATGAAATTCTATTTAAACCTATAACATTTTACGTAACATTTACCTATTTTATTTTATAATTCTGACTTTTTTCTCACAAATGCAAGTATAGCTCCTATTTCGGACTTTATAACTTGATTTAACTTAACAACTGCGAGTTTGTCAATTCTGAGGAAAAAAAGTCAGAAGCGTGGGATATAAACTCATGAGTCTGATCCGAGGGCAAATGAGAGAATGACAAGCAAATCAGGATATTATTATGATTTCTGAAGGATCATGTGACGCTGAAGACTAATGGCTGTTTTATCTATTTTACATTTTATCTATCTATCTATCTATCTATCTACAGTATATTAATTTATTCATACTGTGATATGTGTCATACAACCCACCCCGACCAACATCCCATGCTTATGATTCCAAATCTAGGAAATCTCACTGCAATTAGAACATATGCGCTCCGGACATTCTCAACACTTTGTCACCAACAGCGATCAGTCAGAGAGATGCCTTCAGTACCAAAACCACAAACCATTACCATCTTTCTCACCAAATGACTATCTTCCTCACTGAATTTGGCAGTCGATGTGTTTCATGCAAATCCTTTAAGACCGGGATGATCAGCATGTGACAAAAACACCTCTCTCCTAAAACCGGGGTTCCCACCACATTTGACAAACCAGTGTTCCATGAGACTTACAATCACATTTCCATATTTTAGAGAAGAGAAATAATTAAGAAGATCTCTAATCACTTTAGAAATGTCCATGATTTTTAAGATTTTCTTCTTTTTCATGACTTTACTGGAATTCACCATTTTAAAATTCCCACCCATCCCTTAAGTCAAAGGGTGCTGATTGCTTGATTAGAACTGTTGTAAAATTGTCTCGAAATTTCCTAAAATCTGACTGGTTGATAGGAATGACCAACAATAATGTTGATACAGGAACATATCTTTGGTAAAGCACATCAAGGGTGTGGTGTCCCTGAAGACAAATCCACCCACCAGCTAGCCGCCGACAAGTGAATCTGACAGAGGGAGAACCTGGATGCTCAAGGCATAGAAAAGAGTTGGGCGCATAGCCAACATGAGCCAGAGACAAGCAGGACGGGACGTAATGAAGACCCTGCTTCCACCTGCTCCAAGTCCACCTGATGCAGCCAGGACGAATGCTGTGAAAACGGATCAGCTGGCAGCATGCGATGGGACACCTGATGCTGATAAGCTCTCTCACTCTGCCATAAAACCACAATTCCTAAGTAAAGCAGCTTTCATGAGCTCTCGCACACAATGTCTGAGAGACTCAGTTTGAAGTTCACAGCCAGTGTGCGTCTAAGCCAGACGACCTCCTGGACCAATGTTCCCTTTTGCATTCGCTGTTACTTGACTTCTAGAATTAGAAGGACACCATGGCCTACTTGTCTGTGTACAGTTTTTACTTTCATTGTTGCATCGGTTTACGAAACACTGTAAAAGAAAAAAAGTAAATTGCCAACATCACTCTCTATCATCTCTATCAGTGAATCTCTACAACTACTATAAATCTTTACAATGTATACAACTTTTGGGTCTTTTTGGGTTTGTGACGAGTGGGGGCGGGGCCGAGAGCCGTGGGAACGGAGCAAGGCCGGTGGAGTAATTGATAATGACCTGCACTACTCACCGGTCTCGAGTCCCACAGAGGAGCTCCGGAAGGATAAAAGGAGGAGTGACGACAGTGAAAGAGGCGAGAGGACCAGGCCTCGACTTTATTTTGTGTTTTGTGTGCGGCAGTCGTCCGCGAGGGGCTGGCGCTTTACTTTCATTTTGTGTTTGTTTTATTATTAAAGTATTTAAATGTTCGCCGGTTCCCGCCTCCTCCTTCCCGGATCTACAAACGTTGTTACAGGGTTATTTTTTATTTATTACTATCGTTCTAAAGCTTGGGGTTAGTAAGATTTTTTTTTTAATAAATGAATACTTTTATTTAGCAAAAATACATTAAATTAATCAAAATTTGTTGCAAAAAAATCTATTTCAAATTTTAAGCAGTAAAAATGTGATAATCAAACACTGATAAATACTGATAAAAATAAGAAATCATCATGTTTTCTGAAGGATCATGTGACAGTGAAGATGCTGAAAATTCAGCTTTGCCATCATAGCAATGAATTACATTTTAAAATAAATTGAAAAGCAGCTATTTTCAATGAAGAGCTAAATACACGCAGCAATACCAATCTATTCTATTTCCTGCCTAATGCTAGCTGCTTAGCAAATGAGAAGGGAGGTGATGAGGCTCATGGCACATGCATGTCACCGCAGGACCTCACGGCCATATGGGCCAGTGCTAATGACTGATTAAAAAGAAACACTTATGCCACACAGAGCATAAATTAACTACTATAAATATAGTATTGACAGACACTCTTAACAAGTAGCTTGCGTGTTTAGGCTGTGTTTATTACCGCCGGGTAAGGGGGCAAGCACAAGCGGCAGCCAATACGAATGTACAGTAGAAAACTACATGTGACACTAAAGACTGGAGTAATGGATAATGAAGATTCAGCTTTGCCATCACAGGAATAAATTACATTTTACATTTACATTTAGTCATTTAGCAGATGCTTTTATCCAAAGTGACTTACAAATGAGGACAATAAAAGCAGTCAAAACTAACAAAAGAGCAACAATATATAAGTGCAAATGACAAGTCTCGGTTAGCCTAACGCAGTACACGTAGCAAGGTGTATGTATATATATATATATATATATGTATATATATATATATATATATATATTATAC